TCCTACCTCAGTCTTATATTAGCTCTCTAAGTGATAGAGGCAGGAGGCAGAGAAACTCTAGGCAGACAAGGGTGGTTCTTTGGTGAAACCCCATCTTCAAGCTGAAAAACCTGGAGTGAGAACTTCTACCCCAGTTTGGCTGCTCTCTGTCAATTGTTCTTTCTGAATAATGTCTTTTTACCAATCGAATGTTGCCTTTTCCAAAACTACCTACAGCCTGCCCTGCTGCCCATCCCATGCCTATAAAGACTCCAGATTCAGCCAGTAGAGAGAAGTAGCTGGACATCAGGGAGAGTTGACTTCACTTCAGAGGCGATGGCTGTACGTCCAGGAGAAGCAACTTGACTTCGGAGAAGTGAGGCAGAGAGGCGACTTGACTTCAGGGGAGAGCGACCTGCCCTTCCCATACGCTTTCCAGCTCCCCTCTCTGCTGAGAGCTGCTTTCATTGCACAATAAAATTCTCTGCACTCACCATCCTTCAGTTCATCTGTGTGGCCTCATTCTTCTTGGGCACCAGACAAGAATTTGGTACCCACAACGTGTGGGTACCCAAAAAGGCTGTCGCACTGGCCCTTTGCCCTTGCTGACAGAGGGCAGCCACCCCACGCAATGAGGCAAAGGTACCACTGAGCTGATAACACACTGCTCTCCGTGGATAGTGGAGCTAAGAAAGCATTGTAACATGCACTCTGGCACCTTGGGGTCACAGGCACTCCTATCTGGATGCTGCCACAGAGCCTGGACGGAGTTTGCTCCTGCCAGTGCCAAAGCAGCTGGCCAGTTCCCACACTCACTTACCTATGTGCTCCCTCCCATGAGGGGTGCGGTGAGGCGGACCCTAGGAAAAGGTGTTTGCTCGTGCTGGTGCCAAAGTGGCTGGGCACCCCTGTCACGAGTCCTGTGAAGGCGTCAAGAAAGTATCCTGCATCATAAACCTCATAAGGACCCAAACTAGTCCTTAGGGATCTTGATCTCCTTTTCTTCCAACCATGTGACATCATTACTTTGCATTGATGATATTATGCTGATTGGGCAGGACCTAGCAACTACTCTAGACACACTGGTAACATACTGACATGACAACCTAAGTATCGATTCACACAAAAAATCAGGGGCCTTTAAACTCAGTGAAATATTTAGTGGTCAAGTGCTCAGAGGCATGTCAACATAGTACTTATCAGGTGAACAGCAACTTGATACATCTCACCCTTCCTGTCACTCAAAGGGGACACAAGAAATAGTGGGCCTCCTTCGTTTGTGATGGTGGTAGCATGTACCTCATTGGGGTGTGCTGCTGTGATTTATCTGCTAATGAGTGGAAAATCTGCTACTTCTGAGTTTGGCCTAGTACAAGAAAAAGCTCTCTGAACCCACACCTATGGCTCCGAGGGGGGTTCCTTATGAACAGAGTTGTCTCAAAAACAAACAATAAAAAAATCTCTAGGCCTGGCTTACTTACTATTTTTTATTTATAATGGGCTGGCAGCACCTGTATTAGTTTTCTATTGCCACATAACAAATTACCCCAAATTGGGCAGCCTAAAATAACACACATTTATTATCCATAGCTCTGCAGATCAAGACTGGGAAGGCTCAACTGGCCTCTCTGCTGAGTGTCTCCCAAGGCCAACTCAAAATGTCAGGCCAACTGGGTGCTGATGTGGAGACTGTGGAATAATCCATTTCTAAACTTATTCAGGTTATTGCCCATTTAGATCTAGTTCCTTGAGGTGGTAGGAAAGTGGCTCCCACGTTTTCGCTGGCTGTCATCCAGGGACTGCTCTAAACACCTATTGCCACCCTATATACCTTTTCAGGAGCACGGTATTATCCTGAAAGCGGGCCTACTGTGTCACATCCTTCTTGTGCTTTGACTCTTACCTCTTCTTCTGCTCCTTGGTAAGAAAAATGCTCTGCTTTTCAACGATTCCCCTGCCAGGTCTGGCCCACCCACACCACCTCCATGTCTCAAGGTCAACTGACTTGAGACTTTAATTATCCACCAAAATCCCACCATAGTAGTATTTGGATTAATGCTTGATTGAGTATACAAGAGATGGGAATCTGGGGAATCAGACTACAGCTGTCTCAGTTCGAGCAGCTATCACGGAATACCACGGACTGGGTGACTTCATCACCAGACATTTCTTTCTCATAGTTTTGGAGGCTAGAAGTCCAAGAACAGGGTGCCAGCATGCTCAAATTCTGGTGAGCGTCCTCTGCCTAACTTGCAGTCAGCCACCTTGCTGTATCCTCAAATGTTGAAGAGGCATGGAAGAACAAGTTCCCTTTTCTGTAATTATAAGGGCACTAATCTCATCATAGGGACCCAAACATCATGACTACATCTAAACCTAATTACCTTCCAAAGGCTCCACCTCCAAATATCATCCCATTGGGAGTCAGGGTTTCATCATATGAATTCTCAGAGGACACAAATATTCAGTCCGTCTATAATGCCTGCCTACCACAAAAGCCAGAAGTGGACAGCTGTGTAGTCCTGAAGGACAGTGGTGAAGGGAAATCCTCCCAGAGGGAAGAACGTTGAGCAGTACTCCTGTGTGGAGGAGAGATGGCCAGGCCTATGAGATATTTGGGTCTCATGAGAGTTCTCAGCCAAGGGTAACCTCAGCAGAGCAGAATTTTAATAATCTGAAGGATAAGGTACTTATTATCTAGATATTAATCAGCCTCTTTCCCCAACACTTGTGTCATAACCTCATGGGCTCACAAAGTGGCCAAGGTGACAGGGATAGAGATTATGCTTCAGTAGCATGGACTTCCATTCACCAAGGCCAACCTGGCTACAGTTGATAGAGACATGAGACAGTCAAGGATTCCCGGTGAAACCTGCCTTCAAGCCTAAAACGGCCTGAAGGTTAAAAAACCAGACTGCTGGTCCCAAATATAACCCGCGATCCACAGGGAGAATCGCCACTGTTTGCTCACCCTTTTCCAACTGATTCTTCCTTAATAATGGTGACGTGTACACTGGTGGAAGGATGTGGAGCCACAGAAAGTTTGCTGCTAGTGCAGGGGTGGTGGTGGGGAGCCTGGTCTCTTTGGTTCCTGTGTGGTGGTCCAGAATCAATCTGTGAGATGGGGGCCTGTTAGCAGGACTCCCTCCTGCTTTGCTGAGAGATATTTTTTCCTTCCTATTTTTCCTTTTCAACCAATAAATTCCGCTCCTCACCCTTCAATGTGTCTGCGAACCTAATCTTTCCTGGTTATGTGACAATAACTTGGTGTTAGCTGCACCACAGTCATTGCTGAGTGTACAATCTGCCAGAAACAGAGAGCAACACTGAGCCTCTTATATGACACCTGCCTGCAGAGTGATCAGCCAGCTACCAGATGGCAGATAATTACATTGGACCACTTCCACTATGGAAGGGGCAGGGCTGTGTTCTTACTCAAATAGACACTCATTCTGATTATGGATCTTCCTTCCCACCCACCGTACTCTGAGAAAAGCAACATTTGTGCACTTAGAAAAATGCCTTATTTACCATCATGGTATTCCACACAGCATCACCTTGAAAAAAGGCACTCGCTTCACAGAAAATAAAAAGTGCAGCAATGGGCCCATGCTCATAGAAATTCACTGGTCTTATTATGTATATGCCCCATCCCCCATCATTTTTTTAAGAGATGGTAGTGTTTATCCCACCTTGTCTGGAACTCCACATCAGCCTCCCAAAGTGCCCCCCATTATCTTAAAGTGACTGGATCAACAGAACAGTGGAATGGCCTTGTGGAACTCAGTTATAGTACTAGCTAGGTGGCAATACCTTGCAGGTCTGAGAAATTACTTTTAGGAAGCAGTGTTTGCTGTTTATCTGCATCCAACATAGTTTGCTTTCTCTCCCATAGTCAGGATTCATGGGTCCTAGAATCAAGAAGTAAAATTGGGAGTGTCTCTACTCACTTTTCACCCCAGTGGTCGACTAGCAAAAATGCTTATCTTTCTGACTTGAGGCTCTGCTGAACTAGAAGTCTTACTTCCAAAGGAAGAAATGCTTTCGCCAAGGGACATAACAGTAATTCCATTGAGAAGAGATAGATACTGTCAGCTAGCCATTTTGGTCTCTTCATCAATTTCCATCTGGGTCATCTACTGGTTGGGGGTGATGAACTTGATGATGAAAGGGGGATGAATTGCACTACATCAGGGGCTAAAAGAGAGTATGTCTGACATGTCTAGAGAGCTTCTTAGACCTCCCTTTTTTTTTTCTTTCTTTGTTTTGAGATGGAGTCTCACTGTGCCACCCAGGCTGGAGTGCAGTGGCGTGATCTCGGCTCACTGTAACCTCCACCTCCCAGGTTCAAGCAATCATCATGCCTCAGCCTCTCGAGTAGCTGGGATTACAACCATGGGCCACCATGCCTGGCTACTTTTTTGTATTTTTAGTAGAGACAGGGTTTCACCATGCTGGCCAGGCTGGTCCTGAACTCCTGACCTCGTGATTTGCCTGCCTCAGTCTCTCAAAGTGTTGGGATTACAGGAGTGTGCCACCGCTCCCTGCCCCTCCCATGTTTTTCTATTGCACTTAATGGAAAATTACAGCAACCCAATCCAGGCAGGATATCGAATGGTCCAGAATGTTTAGTAATGAAGGTTTGAGCCATCCTGCCAGGCCAAGCACCATGACAGGCTGACATGTTATCTCAGGGCAAAGGGAATGAGAAATAGGTAGTGAAAGAAGGCAGTTATAAATACCAGTTATAGCAATGTGAGCTGCTGCAGAAATCAGAACTGTAATACTAAATACCTTGGTGAGTTATTAACTCATATACCTCCTCAAGTGGAAGAAGAAACCAACAAACAAGAAAAGTGCAGCTTTTACTAATAGTGATTTATTAAATTTAAACAGCTCCCTTTTTCATAGCTTTTGGAAGGGAAATCACTTCACTTCAGAATTATAGGGAGCTTCAGCAATAACCTGTTCCATCCTACAGCATATGTTCTTGTTTCTCCTTGGTCTTTGCACTAACACAATTATTTTTTTCTCATGTGCTTAACTTTTCTGAGATGGCAGTGGGAATCTATTTCTTTAAGCGCCTTCTCGAGTTGCTGAATTAAGACAACTTTTTTAAACCTGAAATTAAAGAGGAATTTCATTCACCAGATGATATCTACAGAATCTATGAGATGTAAGAGGTAGGGTGGATACAAAATAGAGTTTACCATCTACATGCAAATAGAAAATGCATCCTCATAGAAAGATACAAACTAGAAAAATACAAAGTGAGTCAACTGAGGGTCCATGCACACTCCCAGATTTTGATAAATTTGGAAGGCCCCCTGGCATTGGAAGAAAGTGTTAGAATAAGATAATATCAACCTAAATGCCTGTGAAAATAGCATGAACTATGATTGAGAGCCAGAGATTAGGAGGAACAAACATGATTTGTTCCTGCCCCTGTCCCAAATTGTGCACAAATGCTTAAAATAGCAGAGTTCCTTTTTGCACTCACCTTGCTGCTTCCTTGATGGTAAATTCAACAAATTGTCTCTTGACCTTCATAGATCCTTGTACTTCTTCAAGCAAAATGAAAATTCTTTCATAATCTGAAGATATTTTAAAAATTAGTATTTCTACAATTACGAACATGAAATATACCTCAATCTTAGTGCATCCACTACCACAGTATACATTTTTCATGGGCTAAAATGTTACATAGTGTTTGTGTTTTGAATGCTTAAATCACAACATCTGTATATTACTAAGGAACTATTGTGAAAAACAAAACACTTAAGCAGACATATTAGCAATTTCCAGTGAAAATTAAGTGAAGCCATGCTAAATTATATACAGATCCAATTCAGCCAAACAATGAGCTCAAGAGGCAGCTGACTTCTGTTCTAAATCATAGAATGAGAGACTTCTCATGCTTTCACTGATAAGACATTCTTGCATTACTTACTTTGCCCAAACCTTCGAACTTCTTTCATTAATTGATATTTTATATCATCATTAATTTTCTTTGCCATGGCAGGAGATATTTGTGGTGTATTTGGCACAGTTTCCACTGAAGACATTGCTGTGACTGGTGGGTCACCTGCAGAGACACTGTAGTTTTTGATGCCTACAGCAAATTCATTACTATCAGGTTGGTAAAGCAGCTCATCTTTGCTGAGACTTGTGAAGTCGTAAGAGAAAGAACCCAATGCCTTGGGTGGCATACGATGTCCTGTCATATTTATAAGCTCTGGTGAATCAGAATTTGACAGGAGGCCATCAGGAGGGATTTGACCATTTTCCATTTCCTCCTCCTGGATATCGTGAATGACAGTAGAATCTGGAATCCAAATGAAAAAGTTGAGCTGTGAGGTAAGTGCATCATGTCACCCCCACAGTATATCCCTCTGATGCCCGGTTTCTAGGAAGTCATCTCATGAAGCAAGAGGATATACCAGGTAGCGATCCAAGATCCCTCAAACTAAGTTCAAGTAAGATAATACAACAAAACCACCTTCTTCCCTGCAGGACACTATGCAGGGATATGGAAACCAAGCAGGACAGTACAACCAATACACAAACATACACAGACCCCTGGTGCTCCTGGATGAAATACCAGCTCCTGATAGATTAGTACCCCCTGGTGGAACTGTTGACAAGGAGTTATCAGGTGCCTGTTGGTCATTTTTCATCTTTGCCTCATGGACATTGTGAGTGGCGGTGACATCTGGAAACAAAATGAAGAGGTCGAGCTGTGAGGTAAGTGCATAATGACAACCCCACAGGGATATCCTGCTGATGCTCAGTTTCTAGGACATTATCCCATAAAGCAGGAGGATATACCAGGTGGCAATCAGAGACCCCTGAAATTGAGGCAAGCAAAGGTAATACCGCAAAACCACCTTCTTCCCTTGATGACACTATACATGCATATGGAAATCAAGGAGGACGGTATAAGTAAAAAACACACATACACCACAGATCCCTGGAACTCATTGCTGGAATACTAGCTCCTGCCACATTAATAAACCCAGATAGAACATTTGACAAGACGTTATCCTGTTGTGGTTGGCCATTTCCCATCCTTGCTTCATGGACATGGTTGACAGTATCTGAAACTGATCAGAGGTCGAGCTGTGAGGTAAGTGCATTATGCCAACCACACATGTATATATCCCCCTGATGCTCAGTTTTTAGGAATTTATCACGTAAAGCAGGAGGATATACCAGGCAGTGATCTGAGACCCCACAACTTCACCTATGAAAGACAATACAATAAAACCACAAGCTCCTGCCACATTAATAAGCCCTGTTGAAGCAGTTGACAAGACGTTATCAGGTTAGAGGTTGGCCCTTTTCCATCTTCTCCTCAGGGACATTGTAAGTGATGGTATCTGGAGAAAACCAAATGAAGAGGCTGAGCTGTTAGTTAAGTGTGTTATGGTAACCACACAGGTATATCTCTCTGATGCTCACTTTCTAGGAAATTATCTCATAACGGAGGATATATAAGGTTGTCATATGAGACCGCTAAGTGAGGCCAGGAAAGACAATATAACAAAACCACCTTGTATGATTTTTGACACTGTGCATGCACATGGAAACCAAGTAGGACAATGTACAAATGAACAAACTTGCGGATCCTGGTACTCATGGTTGGAAATACCGGTAAAACTTATATTAATAAGCTGTGGTCAGAAAGTCAACAACACGTTATCAGGTGCTGGTTGGACATTTTCCATCTTCTGTTCACGGCCATTGTGAGTGACTGTAGCATCTGGAAACCAAAGGAAGAGGTTGAGTTGTGAGGTAAATTGCATTATGCCCAGCTCACACAGAAGTATATCCACCTCTGGTGCTCAGTTTCTATGAAATTATTTTCCTTAAAACAGTAGGATATATCAGTGGTGATGTGAGACCCCTCAGATTTACGCCAGAAACAAATAACACAACAAAACCACTTTATTCCCTTCGTGGCACTATATGTATGCATACTGAAAGCAAATGGAGACAACCTAATATAAGTGGACATACAGAATCTAGCACTTGTGGCTGGAATAGGAGTAGCTGCCATATTAATAAGCCCTGTGGGACCAGTTGACAAGATGTTATCAGGTTGGGGTTGACCATTTTCCATTCTCTCTTCCACCGGATGTGTGAGTGACAGTGGAATCTGGAAACCAAATTAAGAGTTCAAGTTGTGAGGTAAGTGCTGCATTATGTCAGTGCCACGGAGGCTATGTGTCCCTCTGATGCTCAGTTGCTAGGGAAATTATCCACCCATAAACCAGGAGGACATATCAGGTTTGTGATTTCGAGACCCCACGGTTTAGGCCAGAAAAGATAATAAAACAAAACCACTTTCTTCCCTTGATGACACTATGCATGCATATGGAGATCAAGGAGGAGGACAATATAAGTAAAACACACATACACCACAGATCCCTGGAACTCATTGCTGGAATACTAGCTCCTGCCACATTAGTAAACCCAGATAGAACATTTGACAAGACGTTATCCTGTTGTGGTTGGCCATTTTCCATCCTTGCTTCATGGACATGTTGATTGACAGTAGCATCTGGAAACCAAATAAAGAGGTCGAGCTGTGAGGTAAGTGCATTATGCCAACCACACATGTATATATCCCCCTGATGCTCGGTTTTAGGAATTTATCACGTAAAGCAGGAGGATATACCAGGCAGTGATCTGAGACCCCTTCACCTCGAAAGACAATACAATAAAACCACAAGCTCCTGCCACATTAATAAGCCCTGTTGAAGCAGTTGACAAGACGTTATCAGGTTGGGGTTGGCTCTTTCATTTTCTCCTCAGGGACATTGTAAGTGATGGTAGCATCTGGAAGCCAAATGAAGAGGCTGAGCTGTTAGTTAAATTGTGTTATGGTAACCACACAGGTATATCTCTCTGATGCTTACTTTCTAGGAAATTATCTCATAAACAGGAGGATATACAAGGTTGCCATATGAGACCGCTGAAAGCCAGGAAAGACAATACAACAAAACCACCTTGTATGATTTTTGACACTGTGCATGCACATGGAAACCAAGTAGGACAGTAATACAAATGAACAAACTTACACGGATCCCTGGTACTCATGGTTGAAATACCAGTGGCTGCCATGTTAATAGGCGCAGTCGAAGATCTAGCAACACGTTATCAGGTGCTGGTTGGACATTTTCCATCTTCTGTTCATGGCCATTGTGAGTGACTGTAGCATCTGGAAACCAAAGGAAGAGGTTGAGTTGTGAGGTAAGTGCATTATGCCAACTCACAAGTATATCCCTCTGGTGCTCAGTTTCTATGAAATTATTTCATAAAACAGTAGGATATATCAGGTGGTGATGTGAGACCCCTCAGATTTACGCCAGAAACGATAACACAACAAAACCACTTTATTCCTTCGTGGCACTATGTATGCATGTAAGAAAACCAAGTAGGACAGCACAACTTATAAGTGGACATACAGAGATCTCTGGCACTTGTGGCTGGAATAGGAGTAGCTGCCATATTAATAAGCCTGTGGGACCAGTTGACAAGATATTTATCAGGTTGGGTTGACCATTTTCCATTCTCTCTTCACGGATATTGTGAGTGACAGTGGAATCTGGAAACCAAATTAAGAGTTCAAGCTGTGAGGTAAGTGCATTATGTCAGTGCCACAGGTATGTCCCTCTGATGCTCAGTTGCTAGGAAATTATCCCACCCATAAACCAGGAGGACATATCAGGTTGTGATTTGAGACCCACGGTTTAGGCCAGAAAAGATAATAAAACAAAACCACTTTCTTCCCTTGATGACACTAGCCATGCATATGGAGATCAAGGAGGACAATGTAAGTAAAAACACACATACACCACAGATTCTCTGGAACTCATTGCTGGAATACTAGCTCCTGCCCATTAGTAAACCCAGATAAGACATTTGACAAGACATTATCCTGTTGTGGTTGGCCATTTTCCATCCTTGCTTCATGGACATGGTGATTGACAGTAGCATCCTGGAAACCAAATAAAAGAGGTCGAGCTGAGTAGTGCATTATGCCAACCACACATGTATATATCCCCTGATGCTCAGTTTTAGGAATTTATCACGTAAAGCAGGAGGATATACCCAGGCCAGTGATCTGAGACCCCACAGCTTCACCTCACGAAAGACAATACAATAAAACCCACAAGCTCCTGCCCATTAATAAGCCCTGTTGAAGCAGTTGACAAGACTATCCAGATTGAGGTTGGCTCTTTCATTTTCTCCTCCCGAGGACATTGTAAGTGATGGTAGCATCTGGAGACCAAATGAAGAGGCAGGCTGTTAGTTAAGTGTGTTATGGTAACCACACAGGTATATCTCTCTGATGCTTACTTTCTAGGAAATTATCTCATAAACAGGAGGATATACAAGGTTGCCATATGAGACCGCTGAAAGCCAGGAAAGACAATACAACAAAACCACCTTGTATGATTTTGACACTGTGCATGCCTGGAAACCATTAGGACAATGTACAAATGAACAAACTTACGGATCCCTGGTACTCATGGTTGAAATACAGTAAACACTTATATTAATAAGCTGTGGTCGAAGAGTCAACAACACGTTATCAGGTGCTGGTTGGACATTTTCCATCTTCTGTTCACGGCCATTGTGAGTGACTGCTTAGCATCTGAAACCAAAGGAAGAGGTTGAGTTGTGTGAGGTAAATTCATTATGCCAACTCACAAGTATATCCCTCTGGTGCTCAGTTTCTATGAAATTATTTCATAAAACAGTAGGATATATCAGGTGGTGATGTGAGACCCCTCAATTTATGCCAGAAACGATAACACAACAAAACCTTTATTCCCCTTCGTGGCACTATGTATGCATATGAAAACCAAGTAGGACAATTACAACTTATAAGTGGACATACAGAGATCTCTGGCACTTGTGGCTGGAATAGGAGTAGCTGCCATATTAATAAGCCCTGTGAAGAGGACCAGATTATCCCAAGATGTTATCAGGTTGGGATTGTGTTTTCCATTCTCTCTTCTGGATATTGTGAGTGACAGTGGAATCTGGAAACCAAATTAAGTTCAAAAGCTGTAAGTGAACTGCATTATGTCGATTACCACAGGTATGTCCCTCTGATGCTCAGTTGCTGGAAATTGTATCCCACCCATAAACCAGGAGGACATATCAGGTTGTGATTTGAGACCCCACGGTTTTAGGCCAGAAAAGATAATAAAACAAAACCACTTTCTTCCCTTGATGACACTATGCATGCATATGGAGATCACGGGAGGACAGTATAAGTAAAAAACACACATACACCACAGATCCCTGGAACTCATTGCTGGAATACTAGCTCCTGCCACATTAGTAAACCAGATAGAACCTTGTTTGACAAAGGCCATTTATCCTGTTGTGGTTGTGCTTCCATCCTTGCTTCATGGACATGGTGATTGTGGCGCATCTGGAAACCAAATAAAGAGGTCGAGCTGTAGAGGTAAGTGCGTGCCAGCCACACATGTATATATCCCCTGATGCTCAGTTTTAGGAATTTATCACGTAAAGCAGGAGGATGCAGAGCAGTGATCTGAGACCCCACAACCTTCACCTACGAGAAGACAGTACAATGAAGCCACAAGCTCCTGCCACATTAATAAGCCCTGTTGAAGCAGTTGACAAGACGTTATCAGGTTGGGGTTGGCTCTTTTCCATTTTCTCCTCAGGGACATTGTAAGTGATGGCGCATCTGGAACCAAATGAAGAGGCTGAGCTGTTAGTTAAGTGTGTTATGGTAACCACGGGTATATCTCTCTCTGATGCTTACTTTCTAGGAAATTATCTCATAAACAGGAGGATATACAAGGTTGCCATATGAGACCGCTGAAAGCCAGGAAAGACAATACAACAAAACCACCTTGTATGATTTTTGACACTGTGCATGCACATGGAAACCAAGTAGGACAGTAATACAAATGAACAAACTTACACAGATCCCTGATACTCATGGTTGAAATACCAGTGGCTGCCACTTTAATAGCTGTGGTCAGAAGAATTAAACAACATTTATCAGGTGCTGGTTGGACATTTTCATCTTCTGTTCACATGCATTGTGAGTGACTGTAGCATCTGGAAACCAAAGGAAGAGGCTGAGCTGTGAGGTAAGTGCACTATGCCAACTCACAAGTATATCCCTCTGGTGCTCAGTTTCTATGAAATTATTTCATAAAACAGTAGGACTCTCTCAATTAGTGATATGAGACCATCAGTTACGCCAGAAACGATAACACAACAAAACCACCTTACTCCCTTCATGGCACTATGTATGCATATGAAAACCAAGTAGGACAATTACAACTTATAAGTGGACATACCTGAGATCTCTGGCACTCGTATGGCTGGAATAGAGTTGCTGCCATATTAATAAGACCTATGGGAACAGCTGACAAGACGTTATCAGGTTGGGGTTGGCCATTTTCCATTCTCTCTTCACCGGATAATATAGTGACGGTAGAATCTAGAATGAGTAAGACAGTTCAAGTTGTGAGGTAAGTGCCACAGGTATGTCCCTCTGATGCTCAGTTGCTAGGAAATGACCCCACCCGTAAACCAGGAGGACATATCAAGTTTGTGATTTGGAGACCCACGGTTTTAGGCCAGAAAAGATAATAAAACAAAACCACCTTCTTCTCTGCATGACACTGCATGTGTATGAAAAACAAGTAGGATAGTACAACTCGTAAACATACACTGATCCCTGGTACTCATGAGTGAAATACCAGCCCATGTGAAATTCATAAGCCCCGCTGTAATAGTAGACAAGAATTTATCAGGTGCTATTTGTTCATTTTTTATCTTCTATTCACAGATAGTGTGAGGAACAGTTGAATCTGAAACCAAACGAATAATTTAGACACATGAGGAAAGTCCACTATGTCAGCCCAACAGGTATATCCCTCTGATGTTCACTTTCTGAAAATTATCCTAGAAATCAGAGGAGGATGCCCAGATAATACGCTGAGACTCCTGGTCAGAACCAGGAAAGTATATACGACAAAAGCAACTACCTTCATGAAAATATGCATGCTTATGGAAAACAAGTATGACAGTACAACTATTAGCGGACATACACAGATCTCTGGTACTCATGAATGGAATACCAGCTCACAGCCATATAGACAAGCCATGGGAAACAGTTGAAGACTTTATCAGTTTGGGATTGGCCATTTCCATCCTCTCTTCTGAATGTTGTGAGTGATGGTAGCATCGGAAACTGACATACAGGTTGAGCTGTGAAGTACTTACGTACTGTTAGTACGAAGTATTTCCACTGATGCTAAATTTCTGAGAATTATCCCATAATGCAGGAGAATACATCATATAATGATTTGAGTCCACTCAAGTTGAGGTCAGGAAAGATTATTCAACAAAACCACCTTCTTCCCTTCATGACACTATGCATGCATATGGAAACCAAGGACACTACAACTAATAAACAAACATACACAGATCCCTGGTACTCCTCGCTGGAATACCAGCTCCTGTCATATTAATAAGCCCTGAGAGAACATTTGGCACGACATTATCTTGTTGGGGTTGACCATTTTCCATCCCCTCCTCATGGACATTGTGATTGACGGTAGCATGTGGAAACCAAGTGAAGAGGTTGAGCTGTGAGGTAAGTGCATTATGTCAACCCCACAGGTATATCCCTCTTTGTGGTTCTAGGAAATTATCTGAAAAATCAGGGGAGGATATCCCGGAGTGGCCATCTGATACCCTCAAATTGAGGCTAGGAAAGAATATACAACAAAACCACCTTCTATAATTCATGAAAATATGCCTGCTTATGGAAAACAAGTAGGACAGTACAATTAATAAAGCTAAGACATACACAGATCTCTCGTACTTGTGGACAGAATTCCTGCCTGCCTGCCACCTTCCAAGCCATGGTGGAGCAGTTGACAAGATGTTATCAGCTGCTGGTTGGCTGTTATATTATCCTCTCTTCATGGATTTGTAAGTAGCTGCAGCATCTGAAACCAAGGGAAGAGGTTTAGCTATGAAGTAAGTGCATTATGCCAACCCCACAGGTATATCCCTCTTTGTGCAGTTTCTGAAATTATCTAAAAAAGCAGGAGGATATCCCAGGTAGCCATCTGATACCCCCTCAAATTGGGGCTAAGGAAAAGAATATACAACAAAACCATCTTCTATAATTCATGAAAATACGCCTGCTTATGGAAACCAAGTAGGACAGTACAATTAATAAGCAGACATACAGATCTCTCGTACTCGTAAAGGCGAAGTTCCTGCTGCTGCCATAGCACCAAGCCATGGTGGAGCAGTTGACAAGATGTGTGGTTGCTGGTTGGCTGTTATTTATCTTCTCTTCATGGATGTTTGTGAGTGACTGCAGCATCACAGAACCAAATGAAGTGGTTGAGCTGTGAGGTAAGTGCATTATGTCAACTGCAGGCAAACCCCATGATCTCGGTATGTCATAAAGGAGGAGGATATACCAGAGTAGCAATCTGAGAACCTAAAATTGAGGCCAGAAAAAGATAATACAACAAAATTACCTTCTTTCCTCTTTGACACTATGCATATATGGTGCATAGCAGAATCCTCGTAGGACAGTATAACAAGTGAGCAAACTTACACTGGTCCACGGTACTCATGGATGAAATTCCAGCTGCTGCCATGTTAATAAGCCTGGTGGAACAGTTACAATGACATTATTGCTGTGCTGGTTGGCCATTTTTATCTTCTCTTCATGGACATTGTGAGTGGACCTTCTAGCATCTGAAACCAAATGAAGAGGTGAGCTGCAAGACAGGTGTGTTTTGTCCATCCTCATCAGGGGACAGCTATGTATTCATCAGTTTCTAAAGAATTATCTATTTCATGAAACAGATTTACACGTCAAATCTCCAGATCTTGCTAGCAGAGATCAGGTCAGATAATACAATAAAACCACCTTTTTACCTCTTGGCGTAATGAATACATACAGTAAAAATGCGCTTAATAGAATAAACATTCCACAGGTTTTGTATTCATCATTTTGTATCATCTTTCTGCCCTTTACAATTCTCACTTGATATTATTTGTATAGTTCACCTATAAATACCATGCTGTGTGCAGCAGGAAGCCAGACTAACTGACCCTCCTTAACCTGCTTCCTTTCTACCCCAATTATTCTGAGAAAATAGACGTGGCTATTGGAGTTGAACACTCTTATCTCTACTCCATCCTCACACATCTGCAGTTTTATATGATTCTATAGATCCTGCCCTTTTGTCTAGCAAAAGTGACTTTCTTTTCACTCCAGGTCTGATGCCTCTTTCCTTTATTCATCATCTGTGGCAGGCAGCATGCCGGGAGGCTGAGGATCAGCAGTTACTTTGAAGGCAATGTTCCTTGCCCTTGTGGGCTCACATCCTCATGGGGCAAGTCAGACAGTACATGCACAATGAGCAAATGAAACAAGACTGTATTGGGCTGGTTGGAAAAGCAGTCCACAGGTCCGTGGGAAGAGCAGCAGAGAGAGAGCCCCAGGGCCTGTGGCTGGTTTAACCCGGGAGCCTTCTGAAGAGGAGTGCCACTGGGCAGGGCTTAGAGGAAAAGCCTGACCTCCTGTGCAGAGGCAGAGGAGAGTTCCAGGCTGCGGTGAGGCCAGGAGGTAGGGGATCTTCAGTGGGAATGGACCGGGCACTACAGAGCTGAAGGACAGAGGCAGAGGCAGGTCCGTGGGAGAGAGCAGCAGAGAGAGCCCCAGGGCCTGTGGCTGGTTTGGCAGGGCCTTCTGAAGAGGTGCCACTGGGCAGGGCTTAGAGGAAGAAGCAGAGCCTCCTGTGCAGAGGCAGAGGGAGAGTTCCAGGCTGCGGTGAGGCCAAGGGTAGGGGATGGAGTGGGGATGGACCGGGCACTACAGAGCTGAAGGACAGAGGCAGAGAGAGCCAGGAGGAAATGGATGGGACCTGTGTTAGGAGACGGTGACAGAGGCCAGGCGTGCAAAGGCTTGCAGACCAAAGTCAGTTCAGGATCTGTTCTGAGTGCTTAGGAGAGTTGAAGATGGGTTTTCAGAAGGGACATGGCATGATGTGATTTACGTGCTGACATAATTATCTAGCCACAAGGTTAGAGAGTATGCGATAGATGAGTGAAGATTAGAAACACAGAGCTAAGAAGATATTGTACTAGCCTGGACAGAGATCACGGCAGTGTGCACTGGAGGCATAGAGAGAAACGGTTGGATGCAGAATTTATACTGGGCATTGACTGCTGGACTTGCTAAGAGATGGGAAATGAGAGAGCAATAAAAGAATCATAAGATAACTCATAAGTGACTTTAAGTATTTTGACTTGAACTACTAAGTGAAAGTACACCAGGGGTGTTCAGGAGATGTTAGGGAACTGACTGTGAGAGTTGAGTGCTGCCAACTCTTCCTGAATCTGGTTCAGTGACCTTATGTTGACAGCTTGAACTAGGCCATGGTGGGATTACTTGCACTATGGATAGCTGCAAACTATGAAAACCAGCACTCCTCAGTCCCCCATACCTGTGAACAGCTGGTTGTTACACCTTTGTGGATGTTTCACCCAATGGATAGTGTCTTTAACTGAAATAGTGAAGGCTAAAAGTATAGTATTTTTGGAGAGAGGGAGGTCAGAAATTTGAGCATGTAGAGGGAGTTGAATTTTAGATGCCTATTAGACAGCCAGTAGAGATATCATGCGAGTAGTTGTATTTGAGTCTGGATTTCAGGAACAAGTTGTAGTGTAGAAGTATAATGGTGAGAGTTCTTTTAGTGTGAATCATTTAAAATTCTAAGACAGCATGGCATTACCTTAAGAGATACTATATTGAAGAGAAGAGACCCTAGGATCAAGCTTTGTGGCTCTGAAATATTTAGAGGTGGGAAGGCAGAGGAGAAAAACAAAAAAGAGAAGGAAAATGAGTCTCTAGTAACAGGGTAACAAATCCAGGTGTCTGGGGACCCAAGAAGCTTTCCGTGCAGGAGGAAGTAAACAACTGTGTTGCATGCTGCTGAGACATTAATGCCAAAATGCAGCAAACACTGGTGACCTTGATGATAGTAGTTTCATTGGAGTACATTAAGAAGCCAGACCGCACTGGGTTAGAGCGGAATGTGAGGACAGGCAGAAAGTGAGTAGACCCAAACTCTTGTTGAGCCCACCATCTCCTTCTGCCTCAGGAACCTCCTTCACTCATCTAATGCTTGCAGCAACTCCAAATTGTTGCACCTAATTAGAACCTTGCCCTTCCACTTGTAAATGTGCTCATATCTGTTGATCCCTCAAGGACAAATGTCCTTTGACATGGTTGAGGCCCAAAGATTGGATTCCCCCTCACCTTCCTGTTTGTCTAACCACAGGGACATACTCTTCCTTCTCTTAGATGAAGAGTGTCTCTTAGATTTTCTGGAATGTTTCTTTTTGCTTTGATGTCCTTTTGCAACCGGATTTACTTCATCACTCCTCATTTGCTGAAAAACATCAGTGAACATATTCCATTAAAGACAAATCCAACCATTGCAAAGTCACAGCCTTCATATGCATACACAGCCATGCATTTATATCATTAATGTAAGTTTTAGTCATAGGTCAAAGATTTCTCATCACTGAACACACACAATGCTCTTAGAAAAGGCAAGCTAATTTTAATCTAGTCTCAGTGAAACAAGGGAATGTAAAATACAAGGTGTTATCCAAAGTCAAACATGGTCCAGTCATGATAAATCAGAATGCTTGGGGAATGAGTGGCTTTCATCATACAAAGGAATAAACATATGGTTCTCTCTGTCATGAAGTACACATCATTTTGTCTCAGCACTTGTTAGGGGAGGAAAGAAAAAATAAATACCTTATTTTATCTTTTACTGCCTTTCTTTTTTTTGAGACAGAGTCTTGCTCTGTCGCCCAGACTGGATTGCAGTGGCGCGATCTCGGCTCACTACAGGTGCCCGCCACCACGCCTGGCTAATATTTTGTATTTTTAGTAGAGACGGGGTTTCACCATGTTAGCCAGGATGGTCTCGATGTCCTGACCTTATGATCCTCCCGCCTCGGCCTCCCAAAGTGCTGGGATTACAGGTGTGAGCCACCGCGCCCGGCCTCTTTTAGTGCTTTAAAGTTATGTATTAGCAAATACTGATTAATACTTTATTAGATAATACATAAAGATAGTGAAGGGTAGGATAGTTTGAAAAGGTAAATTTTCCCACCTCCAACCTTATGGAGATTCCAATATGTTGATCTTGGACTCAGGTAGGGGTAGGGCATGCTTTGCAAGGTTAGTAGTAGATAAAACGTGAAATTGAAGGGTATAGTATGTTAACTAAAAGCTGTTTTCATCAAAGGATAACCGAAGAATACGCTCCTGATACCAGAGGTACCAAGAAGAGCTGGTAATATTACTACTGAAACTATGCCAAAAAAATTAAAAAGGAAGGACTCCTACCTAACTCATTTTATGAGACCAGCATTGCCCTGATACCAAAACCTGGCAGAGATACAACAAATAAAAACTTCAGGCCAGTATTCCTGATGAACATCGATGCAAAATCCTCAATAAAATACTGGAAAACTGAATCCAGCAGCACATCAAAAAGCTTATCCCCCATGAGCAAGTTGGCTTCATACCCGGGATGCAAGGTAGTTTCAAAATAGGCAAATCAATGAATGTAATTCATCACATAAACAGAACTAAAGACAAAAACCACATGCTTATCTCAATAGATGCAGAAAAGATCTTTGATAAACCTCAACATCCCCTTATATTAAAAGCTCTCAATAAACCAGGTATTGAAGGAACATACCTCAATATAATAAGAGCCATATATGACAAACCCACAGTCAATGTCATACTGAATGGGAAAAACCTGGAAGCATTCCCGTTGAAACTGGCACAAAACAAGGATGACCTCCCTCACCTCTCATATTCAACATAGTATTGCACGCTCTGTCCAGGGCAATCAGGCAAGACAAAGAAATAAAGGGTATTCAAAAAGGGGGACAGGAAGTCAAATTACCTTTGTTTGCAGATGACATGACCCTATATCTAGAAAATCCCATTGTCTCAGCCCAAAAGCTTCTTAAGCTGATAAGCAACTCCAGCAAAGTCTCAGGATACAAAATTCATGTGCAAAAATTGCTAGCATTCCTCTACACCAAAAACAGGTAAGCAGAGAGACAAATCATGAATGAACTCCCATTCACAATTCCTATAAAAAGAATAAAGTACCTAGGAATATGGCTAACAAGGGAAGTGAAGGACCTCTTCAGAGAGAACTATAAACCACTGCTCAAGGAATCAGAGAGTAAACAAACAAATGGACAAACATTCCATGCTCATGGATAGGAAGAATCAATATTGTGAAAATGACCATATTGCCCAAAGCAATTTAGACATTCAATGCTATTCCCATTAAACTATCAATGACATTCTTCACCAAGTTAGAAGGAGCTTTTTAAGAATTCATATGGAACGAAAAAAGAGCCAGAATAGCTAAGACAATCCTAAGCAATAAGAACAAAGCTGGAGGCATCACACTATGTAACTTCGAACTATACTATGGGGCTACAGTAACCAAAACAGCATGGTACTGGTAGAAAAACAGATACATGGACCAATGGAACAGAATAGAGAACTCAGAAATAAGATCACACAGCGATAATCATCTGATCTTTGACAAACCTGACAAAAACAAGCAATGGGGACAGGATTCCCTGTTTAATTAATGATGCTGGGAGAACTGGCTAGCTGTATGCAAAAATTGAAACTGGGCCCCTTCCTTACACCTTATACAAAAATTTACTCAAGATGGATTAAAGACTTAAAGTAAAACCCCAAACTATAAAAACCCTAGAAAAAAAATATAGGCAATATTATTCAGGACATAGGCACGGGCAAAGATTTCATGACAAAAATACCAAAAGCCATGGCAACAAAAGCAAAAATTGACGAATGGGATCTAATTAAACTAAAGAGCATATGCATAGCAAAATGAACTATCATCAGAGTGAAGAGCCTACAGAATGGGAGAAAACTTTTGCAATTTGTCCATCTGACAAAGGTCTACTATCCAGAGTCTACAAGAAACTTAAACTAATTTACAAAAGAAAACCAAACAACCACATTAAAAAGTGGGCAAAGGACATGAACAGACACGTCTCAAAAGAAGATATTTACGCAGGCAACAAACGTGAAAAAAAGTGCAACATCACTGATCATTAGAGAAATGCAACTCGAAACCACAATGAGATAACATCTCATGCCGGTCAGAATGGCGATTACTAAAATGTCAAAAAACTACAGATGCTGGCAAAGTTGTGGAGAAAAAGGACTGCTTTTATACTGTTGGTGGGAGTGTAAATCACTTCAACTATGTGGATGACAGTGTGGTGATTCCTGAAAGATTTAGAGGCAGAAATATCATTTGATCCAGTAATCCTATTACTGGGTACATACCAGGAGAAATAAAAATCATTCTATTATAAAGTATGCACAAGTATGTTCATTGCAGCACTATCCACAATAGCAAAGATGTGGAATCAACCCAAATGCCCATCAATCATAAGCTGGATAAAGAAAATGTAGTACATCTACACCACAGAATACTATGCAGCCATAAAAAGGAATGAGATCATGTCCTTTGCAGAAATATGGATGGAGCTAGAAGCCGTTATCGTCAGCAAACTAACGCAAGAAAAGAAAACCAAACAGCGCATGTTCTTACTTACAAGTGGGAGCTGAATGACGAGAACACATGGACACGTCGGGCAGGGCAACACACACTGGGGCCTGTCGGGGGAGGAGTGGGGGGATGGAGTGCATCAGGAAAAATAGCTACTGGGTGCTGGGCTTAATACCAAGGTGATCGGTTCATAAGTGCAGCAAACCACCATGCCACACGTTTACCTATGCTACAAACCTGCATATCCTGCACATACCCCAGGACTTAAAATAAAAGTTGAAAAAAGAAAGAGTATGCTTCTGCATATTTAATGAAATTATATATTTCGGTATAATTTTCATTAAATTATACTGAAATATATAATTTTGATTAAAAATTTTTCCAAACCATTTTCATTTCCTGTAAAAGCGGAGTGGAGAATGTGTGAAAACATTTTCACTGAACATTTACTACCCTCCAGGTACTGTTCTAAATGCTTTACATGTATTAACTCAATCCTTGACCTATCCCTATGAGTGAGGTGTGATTCTTATGTCTATTGTTAAAAAAGAGAAAATAAAGGCACAGAAAATTAAGGAAAAACCTAACTAATTGAGGAGTTTGGGGAATGTGGGAGAATTACTTCAGTCGGGTTTTGTTACAGAAGAGGTTATTGTCTATTTGCGTCCTTATACCAACGGTCTTTTCCACGAGTGCAGATGCAATTCCCTTTGTCTTCATGTTTTAATAGTGAAGTTAGTATGTCTCTCTCATACACAACACATTAAGATCTCCATTAGGACAATCTAATCATGGCAACATCACCTAGTGCTTCATATTCCACGAGAAATACTTAGTCATTGTTTTAGACAGAGCACTAGTGACTTGGATAACAGAAACAGAGACTGTAGAATGCAATCTTGATACTAAAGTAGTTATTGTGGGGAGTGGGAAAGAATATAGACTCTGGAGTGAGAAAGATATGCGTTCAAACCTTGGCTGTATCTCCTATCATGTGTCACGTGGGGCAAGCCTTTTGACCACTGTCAGCCTTGATTTCTTATTAAACGGTAAATAGTAATACACATCCGCAGAACAACTATGACCATTCAATGTGATAATTAAAAACATCAGTTTGGCCAGGCGCAAAGGCTCATGCCTGTAATCCCAGCACTCTGGGAGGCAAGGTGGGTGGATCACCTGAGGTCGGGAGTTGGAGACCAGCCTGACCAACATGGAGAAACCCTGTCTCTACTAAAAATACAAAAAATTAGCTGGGTGTGGTGGTGCATGCCTGTAATCCCAGCTACTCAGAGGCTGAGGCAGGAGAATCACTTGAACCTGGGAGGGGGAGGTTGTGATGAGCCGAGATCGTGCCATTTCACTCCAGTCTGGGTAACAAGAGCGAAACTCCGTCTCAAAGAAAAAAAAGAAAGAAATAAATAATAAAATAAAATTCAATTTAATTTAAAAACATCAGTTCCTGGTACAATCAATCCACTCTTGGATCAAAAAGTTCCCATTTTATGTTCACATAAGTTTTCCTGTGTCATATTGTATCTTTTAAATCAAGAGAATTAACACATATAGTTTATATTCATGTTTCCAATGAGAAAATAATTATACCAAGAATGTCACAACTAGGGCAGAAATAGATTTATCTTACCGGCCCACCATTTGTAAACACATAGGCAACAGTATGAAGTTCTTCAGGTGGAGTTAGTTGACTCATTCGAAATGGAGAAGCCTGCATCTCCAGATAGTCCTCAGGATTAACTATGTGTGTTATTAGAACATTTTGATTTATAACTGGAACATAACTGGCACATAAATTGGCACTACACAGCTGAAATATATGATCCTCTTGAGAGTACATGATCACAGACTGTCTTAGCAATATGCGCCTTGGTAACAAACAGAGTTTAGAATCTCATGTCTAGAATCTATATCATGTTCTGTGATCTAGAATCATCTCCCTTTATCCATCAGTCCACCATCACTACTTCCTGTAGGTTCACACCACTAGGTTAAACGACTCCCTTATGCTTCCACCACAGTTGGAGAACTGGCTGACCTTCCTTATACCACCATCCCAACTAAAAATCTATAATTCTAAATATTAAAACTTTAATATTTATAATGTTAATTTTCAATGAATTCCACAAGTTCATTTTTTTTTTCAGGCTTAAAGGAGAAGTACGTATTAATGAGCACATACACTGTCCTAGTTATTCTACCTGCCCATCATTTATAAACACATAGTTCAAAGTATAAAGTTCTTCAGCTGGAGTTGGCTGACTCATCTGAAGTGGAGGAACCAGCATCCGCAGATACTCCTCATAGTTAACTATGTGTGTGTGACTAGAACACTCTGATTAAAAACTAGAACATAAATGACAAAGAAATCGACACTATTCTTCCCACTGGAAGGGTGTAGGCTCCATGGCATTCTCTTATCATCCAGGGAATGCTGGGTAGTGGGCCTAACCCTCTTTTGATAATTTGATTAAATCTACAGATATTTTTCCCTGGGAAAGTACCTTTACATACAAACTTGGTGTACAATTTCAGAAGTGTGACCAGCCTAAGATCTGATTAATTTAGTGGACAGATGACCCCACTTAAAACCACCAAAATGGGGGTAAAAAGGGTTTGTGAACTGTTGCCAATTATCCTGGATACTATCAGTTTTGTTATTTCTATGTAAACAAGGAATTCTCTGCTGAACTCACAGCAGTAAGCAGTGTGATATAGTATTTGTGTGTGCAATCTCTGGAATCTGAGAGACCTAGGTTCTGTCACTTTTCCAACTGGTTATACCTGGGAGAGCTACTTAAATGTACACTCTAAGATTCTATTTCCATAAAAAGGGCATAAAACAGTATCTAACTCGTGGTGCTCTTAAAAGGATTAACAGAGACAAAGCACAAAGAGGATAGTGTATGTGCTGGTTAATACATACTTTCCTTTAAGCTTGAAAAAAAAAAAAAACTTGTGGGATTTAGTGAAAATAGGCATTCTATATATTAAAATATTAAAAAATAAACTGCTCATGCAATAAACAGCTTCCTACAAACTAGACTTGATACTTTCAAAATCAATAAAAGCCCGGCGCAAAAAAAAAAAAAAAAGTGTTTGGTTTCAGCATACCAAATTTCCTTCTGGTTAACTAGTCGAAATGCCTGCTACTTGCAATATCATAAGCATTTCTACGTGTCTAAGGTTTCAAATCTTCCTTTATGAAACAAATCATTTGTTATTCCTGAAGTTTTAAAATGGTGTATTTAATACAAGCAAGCAGAAGGAGGGGAATGATGAAAATTAGAGTAGAAGAAAATCAATGAAATTAAAAACAGAAAAATCAATGAAATCAAAAGTTGGTTCACAGAAAAGGTGAAATAAAATCTAACAATCTTTTAGTTTGACTGACCAAGAAAAATAGAAAGGCCTACACCGATTATCAAAATCATAAATGATAGAGGGGTTATTAATACTGACCTTATAGAAATTAAAAGGAATATATTTTGAACAACTTTACGTCAACAAACTAAACAACTTAGATAACATGGAAAAATTCCTAGAAGACAAATTGCTGACTCAAGAAGAAACAGGCTGGGCACAGTTGCTCACGCCTGTAATTCCAGCACTTTGGGAGGCCGAGGCGGGTGGATCACCTGAGGTCGGGAGTTTGAGACTAGCCTGACAAACATGGAGGAACTCCGTCTCTACTAAAAATACAAAATTAGCCGGGTGTGGTGGCACATGCCTGCAATCCCAGCTACTCGGGAGGCCGAGGCAGGAGAATCACTTGAACCCGGGAGGCGGAGGTTGTGGTGAGTGGAGATTACGCCATTGCACTCCAGCCTGGGCAAGAAGAGCGAAACTCCGTCTCAAAATAAATGAATAAATAAATAAATAGTAATTAGAAAATCGAATTAGGACTATAGCATGAAAAGGGAATTAGTAATTTAAAATCTCCCCAGAAATACGAAGCAAGCCAAGATGGCTTCGCGTGTAAATTCTAACAAACATTTAAGGAAGAAATAATACCAGTACTTAGCAATGCCTTCCAAAAAATAGCGGAGGAACACTACTTCATTCTGTGAGGCCAATATTACTGTGATATCAAAGCCAGAGAAATATATGACAAGATATATTTGCATGTCAGCTCCAAATTCACCTTTTTATCCTGCTGTGTGAGAAGGTTCTGCGTTCCTCTGCCTCTGTCCGCTGTGCAGTTGATAGTGAAGACCGCCTAAAGAGAGCACCACAGTCAGCTAAGGGGAGGGCTGTGCTCCCTGGTTGTCTGGCTGGCGCCCACGGTCCTGCTGAGTGCAAAGCTTCTCTTCCGGACTCTGGCGCCCCACACAGGTTCCCAGTATGAGGCTGGGGCGGGGCACGCCATGGCCGGCAGCTTCTCTTCTTTCCACCCCCTTGAGCCGTACCGGATTGGTGCTTCTGGTGAGACGCCTACCCATAAGCATCACTCCCAAGCGTTCGAGGGGGCACATTTCCCATAACTCCCAGAGAGCAAGTTTCTAGAAAGTTCCACCAGTGGGGAGGCACCACAACTTCACTGCCATTTTGTGAGGTGCTGCCGCTGCTCCTCCGGCAAGGTCAGAACTTCAGGACTGTGAGTGGGGCAGTTTTTCCCTGGATGCTTTAATTTCTCCCCGGAAATTGTCCATTTTCCTCAGAAAGTGCCTTTTCTGAGGTGTTCTCTGTCGGGTGTGTGGTAGGGCTCCCTGGGAAAGTGGCTCCGCTCTAAGGACACTGCCATGGGCGCCTGTGTCAACCGTGGGGGGCGTTTTCCTTAGGCATCCCATCTCGACTATGTTGTGGGGCCAGGGGGTGCTTTTCTTGGGGGCTCCCTCATTGATGCAAGGGAGTTTTCCTGCTGAAATAACCTGAGCCCAGGGTTGGGGACCCTGCCTTGGTTGTCTGTGTCAGCCTCGGGTGTGGCAGTGTTTCTTGTTTCTTCCCCACTCGGTCGCAGCCCTGAGGGGGGACTCAGACTTGGGGACTCTATGTTCAGAGACCGGGGTGGTAGTGGCTGTGCCCTGGAGGCATGATCGCCACCCTGTGGGGTCACTCTCCGTCGCGGGCTTTATCTCAGCCTGCGAGGGACTCTTCCTTGGGTGCTGTTTTCGGCCGTGGGGCGCATTTGTTCTTGGATGTCGCTCGCTCTCAGGATGTGTTGGCTTTTCTTTGGTTCTGCTTATCCTTGATGGGGACGCTTACCAGACGCTTTCTCTTGGTGCTGGGTTTTTAAAATTATTATCTGTGGGTGCTGTCTCCCGGTGCCGCGGGGGAGTCGGCTGCTGTTCCTTGGATTCTCTGAGCCTGTGGTGGGACTCGGGGAACTCTGTGTCAGCCATGAGGGCGCCCAGCTGACCTTGGGAGCTCTGTCTCACTCCGGGGTTGGGTGCTTTTCCTTGGTTGGTTCTCAGTCCTGAGGGACCTCTTTCCCAGGGTTGTATCTGACCTTTCAGCCACAGCCTCGGATGTCTGTGCAGGAATCGGGGTCCAGAAATGTGTGAAGATTCCAGATTCGCCACATGCACACAACTCACTGTGCAATTATTCTTTCATTCCAGTCATTCTGTGGGTGTGCAGTGATCTCTCCTTATGTCTACACTTGCAATTTTGTGCTGATTAATGAGATTGAGCACTTGTTTTAAAAAGTGTTTGTTTATTGATTTTTGATAGTTTTTTAGGATGAGGTCAGGCTGGGGTGCAGTGGCGTGATCTTGGCTCACTGCAACCTCGACCTCCCAGACTCGCTCGATTCTTGTGCCTCAGTAGCTGGGACAACAAGCGCATGCCACCAAACCTGGCTAATCTTTGTAATTTTTGGTAGAAACAAGGTTTCCCCAAATTGCCCAGGCTGGTCTCGAACTCCAGGACTCAAGTGATCTGCCCAATTCGGCCTCCCAAAGTGCTAGGATTACAGGCGTGAGCCACCGTGCCCAGCTATTTATTGATTTTTTTCGAAGCACTTTTTTATGTGTTTATTGGTCATTTAACCATGTCTTTTAGGAAGTTCCTTTTCAGGTCTTTTCTGCCCAATTTTTTTGAGGTGTTTGTATTTTAAAAATGGATTTGTAATTTACATATATTCTGGGTTTCAGTTATACACACATGCATACAGGCATATATGAAAATACGTATACAATTTTAATGTCTTCTACAAATCTGTTTTGCTTTTACACTATCTCAACAATGTGTTTTAGATGAACAGATTCTCTTAATCTTATTAATCAGACTATTGTTTATGGCTAGAAATCTCTGTTATTTTAAGAGAAAACCCTTGTCTCCCCCAATGCCATGACGATAGTATTCTAAGTTTTCTTCCAGATCTCCTATTCACCTCAAATAAATTTTCATGGAATGGAGTAAAGTCAGAGTCCGGGTATATTTTATGTGATTATTAAAGATATATTTGAGTATGACTCTTATGAAGTGCATATTTAGCTTTTCCCCCCAAATTTTATTGCGATATTTGTTTTTTAAAATTGATTTGTAGTTCTGGATATACTCTGGATTCCACTCAGTTGTTGTCAGATATATAAATATTATATATAATATATAATATAAATAATACATATAATATATAATTATATATTTATATATCTGACAATTACATATAATATATAATTATATACTTATATAAATATAAATATATTATATATTAGCTTTATTATATATTATATATAATTATATATTATATTTATGTATCTGACAATTATATAATTATATATTAATATATATTTATATATTAATATATTTATATGATTGATGTATATTTTTATATATAACTTATACTATACATTATATAATATGTAATCTACATCTATGCTTTGCTTTTCCACTCTCTTAAGAGTGTCTTTTGAGAAATAGAAATTTTACATTTAATTATGTCTAATTAAAGAATGTACTCTTTATGGTTAGAGCTTTTTTATCCTAATCAAAAACACCTTGGCCTATTCTAAAGCTGTAAAGCTAATATCTGATATTTTTTATTGGATTCACTATCTTTAATAACGTTTTCTGAAGTGAGATGGAGTAAGAGTCAAAGTTTGTATTTTCCCTACATTTATGAAGTGCATTTATTAAAAGCACTAGTCTTTCCACAGTGATTTACAGGAGCTCTTCTGTGGTAAATCTAGCTATTTTCCATTTCCAGATTGTTTCTGGCCTCTGTGTCCTCTGTTGTTGGTGTATTTGCCTGTCATTGCTCCAATACCACACTGTTTTAATTACTCTACCTTTATAGTAAATCTCATATTTAGTGGTGTGTATCTACCAACTTAGTTCTTTTTCTTAAAGATTGTCTTAGCTTTACCAAATCTTCAATTTGCATATACTTAAAACAATTGTCTGTCAATTTCAGAAAAAATTTTGTTAACGTGGTGGAATTTTAAATATGATTGCTATGATCATTCTGAGAGAATTAACTATAATGTCTCTTAATAATGTCTTAGATTCCATTGAAAGAATATTCTCTCCATTTACTGCAGTCTTGAATTTCTCTCAGTGATGTTTTATAATTTTTGTGTAGTGCTCTAGCACATCTTGATTAGATTTATTCCTAAGTATTTGATTTTTTTACTGTTTTATGACATTTGAAATTTCATATTCTAATTATTTGTTGCTATTAATAATAAAGAAATACCATTGGTTTTTATTATATCTAGTGACTTGATTTTATTCTTTTACATTTTCTATGTACAGAACAATGCCATCTGTGAATAATGAAGGTTTTATTTCTTTCCAAATTTTAAACCTATTATATTTTCCTGATGCTACTGTACCTTTTAGAACCTCCAGTTAATTGTTGAATGGATAGTGGACATCTTTGTCTTGCTTTCAACTCGAGGAGAAAATACTGATATTTCACTATAAATTATAGCATTCACAATTTTCACTATTTTTTTTGTACATATGCTTACCAGAATTAGAAAGTAGCCCATTTTTCTTTTCTTTTCTTTCTTTCTTTCTTTTTTTTTTTTTTTTTTTGAGACAGAGTCTCACTGTGTCACCCAGGCTGGAGTGCAGTGGCATGAATGATCTTGACTCACTGCGACCTCTGCTTCCTGTGTTGAAGCGATTCCCCTGCCTCAGCCTCTCAAGTACCTGGGACTACAGGTGTATGCCTCCATGCCCAGCTAATGTTTTGTATTTTTAGTAGAGACACGGTTTCACCATTTTAGCCAGAATGGTCTCCATCTCCTGACATTGTGATCTGCGTGCCTAGGCCGCCCAAAATGCTGGGATTAGAGGCGTGAGCCACCATGTCCAGCACTGCCCTTTTTTCTAAGATGCTGATCATTTTTATCATGAATAGATTTTAAACATCCACCCATCTATAATAATGATCATGTGGTGCTTCCCTGTATCTTTGTTGTTTTTAATGTGGTGCATTACATTGATTGATTTTCAAATGTTAAAATCGTCCTTGCCTTTATGCAATATACTCCACCATGGCTGATGGAGTCCCTTTTAAGTATTATTGGATTTTATTTGGTAACCTTTAGTTTAGAATTTTTGTGTCTGAATTCAGGGGTGATCTTGGCTTGTATTTTTGGCTTGATCTTGTAGTTTTTTCTTCTAATGTCCTTGTCAAATGTTATCAGGTTTGTATCAATCTCCTAGAATGAGGACAAAGAAAAGGAATTATTTTTCCTAACAAGGATTGATACACATTGGTTTATCCATCTTCAAAGAGGTAATAATATTTTTATCTACTTTTGGTTGATGAGAGCTGCTTATTCCACAAGCATTCTGATTGGTTTTCGTTTTGTCATTTTTCTTCTCTTTTTTTTACTTAGCATGCATTAAAATTAGGTTTCTTTTCCTGAGAACAGAGTGTTTGCTGAGACTTGGTATTTTGGCGCATGATTAAATGTCAAGTTAATGATTCACATTCTTGGTTGTATACACATATGCAGACTGTTTGCCATTTTTTGATTGTTAGATTTTTGTTATAAGTGGAATATGTTCATTGATGTTTTTCCGGAAACAATGCCTGATAAAGCAGAGAAGGTTGCTACAGAACCTCAAAACGTGTTTAAACCTCCCAGGGAATCTGATAGTTCATCATCTCAGAAAAGGCAGAAGATGGCTCTGTTGGTAAGGAAACAAGGAGCAAGAGATAGCCTTATTGAAGGCTCTGCCATGGCAGAGGAAAGGGGTAAGTAAGCGTGTCCTCACCTCCTCTTCATGATCTATCCAGTGCAGTCAGCCTCCTGCCTCTTCTTCTCCACTGAAACTGTCCTAGTCAAGGTGAACAGTTTTGGCTGACATTGCCACTAATTTCTCAGCAGCATTTGACAGTTGTTCGCTCGATCCTTCATGGAAAGTTTCTAGGATTTTCATTTTCCAAAATCTTCTTTTAAAATTTATTGTCCTTAATCCCTATCTTTTTTTTTTTTTTTTTTTTTTTTAAAGATGGAGTTTCTCTCTTGTAGGCCAGGCTGGAGTGCAGTGGGCCATCTTGGGTCACTGCAACCTCCGTCTCCAGGGTTCAAGCAATTCTTCTGTCTCAACCTCCAGAGTAGCTGGGGTTATACGCACCAGCCACCAGGCCCAGTTAATTTCTGCATTTTTAGTACAGATGGGGCTTTGACATGTCAGCCTGTCTGATCTCAGACTCCTCACCTAAGGTGATCCACCCACCTAAACCTCCCAAAGTGCTGGGATTACAGGCATTCTTTTTTCTACCTTTCTTTTTCTTGTCTCCTCTATATATTTTAAAAATTTTCTGAATCCAAGCATTTCTCTCTCTTCTTTTCCACTCTACTACTACTATCACAGTAGCCATGATCAATCACTGAGCTACTGTGATATCTCCGTGTTTCCCATTATTGCCCCCATCGAACACATACCCTCCAACCCTGCAGCCAGGTCATCATGTTAGCATGTAAATCACATAATGTCATGTTGGTCGTGAGAACCCATTCTCAACTCCCCTAAGCACTCAGAACAGATGGTGAACCTGCTTTAGTCTGGGAGGTTCTGCATGGCCTGGCCTCCATCACCCTCTCCTAACAGGGGCCCCATCCATCTCCTGGCTCTCTCTGCTTCTCTCCTTCACCCCATAGTGTCCGGTCCATCCCCACTCCAGCCCATGCCCGTTGGCCTCACCGCAGCCTAGAGCTCCCCGTCTGCCTCTGCATAGGTGGCTCTGCTTCTTCCTCCAAGCCCTGCCCAATGGCACCTCTTCGAAGACCCTGCCCAACCAGTGGCAACCCCTGAGGCAACCTCTGCTGCTGTCTCCTGCAGGCCCGTGGACGGCTTCCCCAACACCAGCCTAGCGCTGCTTGTTTCATTTGCTCATTTACTCATTGTGCACGTACTGTCTGACTGCCCCATGAAGTTGTGAGCTCCACAAGGGCAGGGAACGTTGCTCTCTTGGCTGCTTACTGCTGATCCCCAGCTCCTGGCATGCTGCCTACCACAGATGATGAATAAATGAAAGAGGTGACAGGCCTGGAGTGAGAAGAAAGTCACTTTTCTGAGGCAGAAAAGAAGGATGATGAAGATCATATACTAAAGGGGATTTTTGGTGATGGAGTGCTTATAGAACTTTCAGCACTAATGACTGCCTCTATTTTCTCAGAATATATTTGATGTAGAGAGGAGGCCGTTGAGGTGTATCCAAGTTGTCTGGCTTCCAGCTTAGTAAAGCATGACAGGTTGTATGTGAATTTGAGAAGTCATGATGTCAACTAAGACTTGCTGCTTTCAACTAGTAAAGCAGAGCAAGCTGACACTAACCCATGAGTACCAGGGATCTGTGTTTGTTAGAGTTGTGCTGTCTTACTTGGCTTCCATATGTATTCATAGGGTCAGAAAATAAGAGGTGGTTTTATTGTATTAGGTATCCTGGCCTCAGTTCGTCAGGCCTGGGGTTTCCCCGTGGTATGTCCTCCCGATTATAAAATAAATAATTCCCTAGAAACTGAGGAGCACATAGATGTACCCGTAGGGGTGATGAAACACACATATCTCACAGCTCAGCTTCTCAGTTTGGTTTCCAGATCTGTCATTCATGATGTCTATGTGGAGGGGAAATAAAGTGGTCAAACTCCAACTGATGGCTTTTTGTCAAAATCTGTTTCAACAGAGCTTGTAGCAGGAGATGGTATTTCACTCAGCTAATTGGATTGTCGGATTGATGACTTCACTGGTTTCAGGAAGATGCGCCTATGCAGAAATCTGGTAGCAATGCACCTGTAGGAGGAATCATTACCAGCAAATTCTTTGGAGATGACTTAAAAGTCACAGAAATACTCCCTTTTTCAAAAATCCAAAAAGATATTAATGCTGAAATAAAAGGTAAATTAGTGAAGGATATTCTACACTCTGAACTAAGAAAGTAGTATAAGAATGTGGAGGGGGGCGGAGCAAGATGGCCGAATAGGAACAGCTCCAGTCTCCAACTCCCAGCACGAGCGACACAGAAGACCGGTGATTTCTGCATTTTCAACTGAGGTACTGGGTTCATCTCACTGGGGAGTGCCAGACGATCGGTGCTGGTCAGCTGCTGCAGCCCGACCAGCGAGAGCTGAAGCAGGGCGAGGCATTGCCTCACCTGGAAAGCGCAAGGGGGAAGGGAATCCCTTTTCCTAGCCAGGGGAACTGAGACACACAACACCTGGAAAATCGGGTAACTCCCACCCCAATACTGCGCTTTAAGCAGACAGGCACACCAGGAGATCATATCCCACACCTGGCCAGGAGGGTCCACACCCACGGGCCTCCTCATTGCTAGCACAGCAGTCTGTGATCTACCGGCAAGGCAGCAGCGAGGCTGGGGAGGGGCGCCCGCCATTGCTGAGGCTTAAGTAGATGAACAAAGCTGCTGGGAAGCTCGAACTGGGGGAGCTCACAGCAGCTCAAGGAAACCTGCCTGTCTCTGTAGACTCCACCTCTGGGGACAGGGCACAGTAAATAATAACAAACGTAGCAGCTCTGCCCAGGCATAAAAAGCGACTCTGTCTGACAGCTTTGAAGAGAGCAGTGGATCTCCCAGCACGGAGGTTGAGATCTGAGAAGGGACAGACTGCCTGCTCAGTGGGTCCCTGACCCCTGAGTAGCCTAACTGGGAGACATCCCCACTAGGGGCAGTCTGACACCCCACACCTCACAGGGTGGAGTACACCCCTGAGAGGAAGATTCAAAGCAAGAATCAGACAGGTACATAAGCTGTTCAGAAATATTCTATCTTCTGCGGCCTCTGCTGCTGATACCCAGGCAAACAGGGTCTGGAGTGGACCTCAAGCAATCTCCTACAGCTACAACCTACAGCTGAGGATCCTGACTATTAGAAGGAAAGCTATCAAACAGGAAGGACACCTACCTACAAAAACCCATCAGTACATCACCATAATCAAAGACCAGAGGCAGATAAAACCACAAAGATGGGGAAAAAGCAGGGCAGAAAAGCTGGAAATTCAAAAATAAGAAGCGCATCTCCCGGCAAAGGAGCGCAGCTCATCGCCAGCAACGGATCAAAGCTGGGCGGAGAATGACTTCGACGAGATGAGAAGAAGGCTTCAGTCCATCAAATTTCTCAGAGCTAAAGGAGGAATTACGTACCCAGCGCAAAGAAACTAAAAATCTTGAAAAAAGTGGAAAAGAATTGATGAAACACAGAGTAATTAATGCAAAGAAGCTCACAAACGAAATGAAAGAGACGAAAACCATGGCACGAGAAATACGTGACAAATGCACAAGCTTCAGTAACCAACTCGATCAACTGGAAGAAAGAATGTCAGCGATTGAGGATCAAATGAATAAAATGAAGCGAGAAGAGAAACCAAAAGAAAAAAAGAAAGAAAAAGAAATGAACAAAGCCTGCAAGAAATTGTGGGATTATGTAAAAGACCAAATCTACGTCTGATTGGGTACATGAAAGTGAGGGAAAATGGAGCCAGTTGGAAAACACTCTTCAGGATATCATCAGGAGAACTTCCCCAACCTATTGGAGCAGGCCAACATTCAAATCCAGGAAATACGAAGCATACAAAGATACTCCTCGAGAAAGAGCAACTCCAAGACACATAATTGCCAGATTCACCAAAGTTGAAATGGGAAAAAATCTTAAGGGCAGCCAGAGAAAGGTCAGGTTACCCCTGAGAAGCCATCAGACTAACAACAGATCTCTCGGCAGAAACTCTTCAAAGCCAGAAGAGAGTGAGGCCAATATTAGCATTCTTAAAGAAAAGAATTTTAAACCCAGAATTTTATATCCAGCCAAACTAAGTTTCATAAGTGAAGGAGAAATAAAATCCTTTACAGATAAGCAAATGCTTAGAGATTTTGTCACCACTAGGCCTGTCTTACAAGAGACCCTGAAGGAAGGACTAAACATGGAAAGGAACAACCGGTACCAGCCATTGCAAAAACATGCCAAAATGTAAAGACCATCAAGGCTAGGAGGAAACTGCATCAACTAACGAGCAAAATAACCAGTTAATATCATAATGGCAGGATCAAGTTCACACATAACAATCACCCAACCTTAAATGTAAATGGACTAAATGCTCCAATTAAAAAGACACAGACTGGCAAACTGGATAAAGAGTCAAGACCCATCAGTCTGCTGTATTCAGGAGACCCATCTCACACAGAGAGACATACATAGGCTCAAAATAAAGGGATGGAGGAAGATTTACCAAGCAAATGGAGAACAAAAAAAAAGCAGGGGTTGCAATCCTAGTCTCTGATAAAACAGACTTTAAACCAGTAAAGATCAAAAGAGACAAAGAAGGCCATTACATAATGGTAAAGGGATCAATTCAACAGGAAGGCTAACTATCCTAAACATATATGCACCCAATACAGGAGCACCCAGATTCATAAAGCAAGTCCTTAGAGACTTACAAAGAGACTTAGACTCCCATACAATAATAATGGGAGACTTCAACACCCCACTGTAAACATTAGACAGATCAACGAGACAGAAAGTTAACAAGGATATCCAGGAATTGAACTCATCTCTGCACTAAGCAGACCTAATAGACATCTATAGAACTCTCACCCCAAATCAACAGAATATACATTCTTCTCAGCACCACATCGTACTTACTCCAAAATTGACCACGTAATTGGAAGTAAGCACTCCTCAGCAAATATTACAAGAACAGAAATTATAACAAACTGTCTCTCAGACCACAGTGCAATCAA